GGTCTATGGGAGGTGATCGGCAGGAGGCGGTCTCTCAGGTACCCAGGTCAATTGTCTAATCCTTAAAATATATATTGGTGTCCTGGTCAAAATTTTGTCTTGAGTGACATTTTCAAACATTGTAGGAATGAATGAGCATACTGGCCTTGTCTACCACATCTGTCTATATTCTCCAATCTTTGGTTGTTATAAAGGCCTCACTAGGAACTATATTCATGTTCTCTCTGAATATGTATATACCTCAGTTCCAGATCTCTCATGAATTAGAAAAGAAATTAATTAAACTAAAAACAAACTATTCAGATCTTGTGCCGCACTGGAATCTGTGCAGAATAAAGCTTCACATATTCAAATACTTGTGATATCCTTCCACAATTAGCTGCAAATATTCATGGCAATTTAAGATCCATCAGCAAAGAAACATTTGGAAGTCAATTCAAAAGGCTTTTCTTCCGTCTATATAAGAATTTCTTGCAAAACAATCCTGTATTTTGATTATTACAATAAATTTCAAAGTGTCATTAAAGTAACAATAGAATGAACAAATGTTTTATTTGCATGTTCATGGTTGTAAACAGCATCTGGCATGGAAAAATTTACCAAAACCTTTGACTGATATAAATTAGATAGCATTTTCAAAAAGAAAAAAGAAACCCCTCTATAATATTGTTTGTAATTGCTCTTATGTAGCAAATTAAATCTCATATATGCTTTGCAATGAAATCATGTACTGCATCAACCTGTACCACATTTTGAACTACTGCAAACTATACTGGGAGGTGTTAAATGAAGGCCATTCATTTTAAAAAAGCTACATATAAAAACTATGAATCAACTCTCAAGAAAAAGTGTGATTTGTAATGATGCTAGAAAAAGCAAACTCGAAAGTATCCCAGTCCAAAAATGTACAAAAATAAGTAGCTAATCAAACAAAAAGCCCTGAAATTCATTAACAAGGAAACATTACAAATCTAAGTACCCAACGTTGTCCCCCCCAAAAAAAAACACAAAAGGGATACAAATTTAAATAGCCAGCTATACTCTTAAATGTACACAGTGAATATTGATATGTGGAAAGAAATACCATAGTAAGCAGTTGAAATGTATTTCTGGTAACTCAGGACAACAAAATAGTATTTACATACTGAACAGAATAGTGACATTGCCATTATTCATAACCTAACTAAAAATCAGATACAACACTTCTGCAAAATAAACACCACCTGCTGGCAACTTTTACTAAAAATACTTCTCCAGGTGTCTTTGCTTCATGGAAGAAGAGTCCAATGAGATTTAAGTTAAACCTGTAAGCTTTAGGGGATAGGTTTTGTCAATTTTATCACATTTCTAGTCCATTTCCACATCTTTGCTTTTATAAAAAACCACTGTCACATTTACTTCAGAAATCTTCTGTGAGGTAATGTGTGTATCAGTGAAAAAAACAAAAATCATTCATGGCCTTTGCACAGCTTTTATTAAGCTATGGATATCCTGTCTGTGGCTGGTTGACTAGCTACTGCTTTGTGCACATTTGTCTCCCAATTTTTGCCGATTACCCTCCCCGCTATGCTTTTCTGGGTTTTTATTTGCACATCCCTTTTCTCTTTACAGTACATTTGACTATAGTGCACAACATGATTCCAAGTCAAACGGGGACTTGACTGGGCACTGAACTGGACTGGGCTGTCCTTTACCAATCAGTGCTGAGGCTTCTTCTTTATACCTAATGTCCTGCCATAATGGCACTACACAGTAGTTGTGTACCTTTTTCACACTTAAGAAAAATTTCCCAGAGAAAATGCTGAAATAAATATCAGTCTTGAGTCAAATCTTTATTTGGCGCTCCATCAAGATATATTTTTAGTGCTTTTTCTTTACGAGGGGAATAGGTCACACGATGTCCAGTTTTCTGAAGTCTACTGCTTTCTTTTTTCATGAGTTCATTTCTCTGTTCTTCAGTTAGTTCCACCATTTCTTCGGTTTTATCCCTAATATTAAAAAAAAAAAGATTTAAATTCTACAACAAACACATATTTACACATTTTTAACTACGCAGTATTCATTTGATGTTCTAACACGTAACACACCTTCTGGACAACGTAAAATCACCCACATTTCATATAATTTTGGGGGAGAGTCAAGAACTTACAGCTCTTAACGACCAATCAATGCTCAGAATGTACTTCAGAACAGCCATTTCAGAGGAGAAGATGGAAAATTAGAAAAGATCTTTGCCATCCAAAGATCCAAAAGGAGCAAGTTAGCAAACTGACGGTCATTTTCTAAACTACATTATTCTTGTCAATAATGTAAAATGCTAGATACTACAAATGCTATATAATTGCGTGTATTTGTAAAAACAAAGGTAACTTTTAAAATTATCTTAGTACAGCTGGCTTATAACCTTGAGGTTTTCTAGGATTCACCGCTCCTGCTTGAACAGCGTATAGAGGCCTTGGCTAATGGGATCTTTGCATAATTATATCTAAAGTACTATTCCTGGATCAGGGAGCATTGTACACAATCATCACTTTGTGGTTGGCCTGCTTCAGTTCATTATTCAGTAGGACTCCTGCTGAATTCTATTTGTAGGCTTCAGCTGCTACAGCATATGGTACCTAGGATCATTAATGACTGCCCTAGATTTGCCCATGTGATACCAGTACAACAGGAGCCAGCTTGGCTGCCACTCTATTTCTGGGTGAATTAAAGATACTGCTCATCACCTTGAAAACCTCTAAGGGTCAGACCCTGAATACCTTTGAGATAATCTGCACTGAGCTGAGTCTTCCTGTCCAGTAAAACCTATGAGGCTTGTTAAGAGCCCTTCTCTGAGAGTATCATTTATCAGGACCTTGCAGTAAAGCAGCACATACATCTCTTAAATACTGATTAAATTTATATTAAATATTATTTCTGTATTACCTTTGCTTAGCTTCAAATCCAGTAGTAGGCATAAAATCCAAAATTATTTTAGACCGTGCCAGCCTACAGCTATATGTATCTTGAACACATTGGGTAAAATGCTTTATTCTTAAAAATGTCACTCCTAAAGAGTAAAATGTTTATACTCTGTTTACCTAAGTAAGCACTTGAAATGCAAAATTCTGACAATATCATAAAGAGAATCAAACTAATGTAGTCATAAAATGAACAATATGATTCCTTCCGGAGTAATTTCTAATTTCTGATTTATTTAAAGCACTTGTCTACAATTACTGTTTTTTCATATTGGAAATTTTTACAGGGTTTTTCAATATAATGAATGACATAAAAGGATATACCTATAAAATATTACTGCTCCATCATCACAGATGTAGAGAGGCCATACATTCAGGGTAGAAACCTTCGGATTCCAGTCTAAATCTTGATGTATCTCTAGAACGGAGATCTCACATGGAAATGTCCCTCTACCCTGGGAAGGATAAGCAGAGTATCTTAGTAAAGTAAGTATATAAGTAAGTAAATACATGTTTATCTGATTATATGGCTACCTATCTCACTAAAGGCAACTCTGGGTGGTATAGGGTGTCCTGCCTAGGCAGGGGGTTGGACTAGAAGACCTCCAAGGTTCCTTCCAACTATTGTATTGTACTGTATTGCATATAATAATTAGTATGTTATGGCTCAACACGAGTGTATATACTCAAAATGTAGGTGTGCTGTGGCCATAACCAATATTATTTTTCATTTATGTCTCTATTTCCAAATTAATACTTTCTCAAACACGACTTGATCACATTTTTCAGTTAA